CCTGCGGCTCGCAGTGCGGCGATGACCTGCGGCAGGACATGCTGACGCTGCAGATGATCCGGATCATGAACAAGATCTGGGTTCAGGAGGGGCTGGACATGCGCATGGTCATCTTCCGCTGCTTCTCCACCGGCCGCGGACGAGGTAACCCGGCATCGGGGCGTCCCCCGCTGGCATCAAGCCCCAGGTTGTGATGCTCTTGGGCTGGTGACGGCACAGGAGATCGTGGGGCTCTGCTAGAGGAGCTGCTGCAAGTAGCTGTGATCCACCTTCGGGTCTGATCCCACCAGCCCATCTGTAGTAATGTGGCTTTGCAGGCTGTCACTCAACGGTGGCGGCTGGGGAGCGACTGGGTTGGTGGCAAAGGGGGGGAGCTGGGGTCTCGGTGCCCCCTGGGCAGGATGGATGGATCTTACCCTGCTGTCTCGGCTGCCAGGCATGGTGGAGATGATCCCCAACGCCGAGACCCTACGGAAAATCCAGGTGGAGCACGGCGTGACCGGCTCCTTCAAAGACCGGCCGCTGGCAGACTGGCTGGGGAAACACAACCCCGAGGAGGACGAGTACGAGAAGGTGAGGAGGAACCTGGCCAGGGTCTCTGCTCCTCATATTCCCCTCTCCAGGGATGAGACCCCTCGCTTCCCAACCTCTCCAGCCTTTCTCCACGCCTGATAGCTCCATCCCTCCTTCCCTCCCTCCCTCCTCCCAGGCCGTGGAGAACTTCATCTACTCCTGCGCTGGCTGCTGTGTGGCCACCTACCGAGTACGAGAAGGTGAGGAGGAACCTGGCCAGGGTCTCTGCTCCTCATATTCCCCTCTCCAGGGATGAGACCCCTCGCTTCCCAACCTCTCCAGCCTTTCTCCACGCCTGATAGCTCCATCCCTCCTTCCCTCCCTCCCTCCTCCCAGGCCGTGGAGAACTTCATCTACTCCTGCGCTGGCTGCTGTGTGGCCACCTACGTGCTGGGCATCTGCGACCGGCACAATGACAACATCATGCTCAAGACCACCGGCCACATGTTTCACATCGACTTCGGCAGGTTCCTGGGCCATGCGCAGATGTTTGGCAACATCAAGAGGTGAAAAATGCCTCCGGCATCTCCTTCCCCCTTGCCCGGGCTCATTCCTGTGGGGCAGTTTCACGGGTGAAGGCCCTTCTCCATGTCCCGGTGATGGGTGACCCCCAGCCATGGTGACTTTCTGTCTCTCCCTCCCTGGTGCAGGGACCGGGCACCGTTCGTCTTCACTTCGGACATGGCATATGTCATCAACGGCGGGGACAAGCCCTCCAGTCGCTTCCACGACTTCGTTGACCTGTGCTGCCAGGCTTACAACCTCATCCGCAAGCACACCCACCTCTTCCTCAACCTGCTGGGGCTGGTGAGAGCTGGGGGGCCACATAGCCATACCCCCAGGCATGGCAGAGGGGTCCTCCTGCCACCGCCTGCCCTCACCCCCTGCCTTGCCTCCCAGATGCTGTCCTGTGGCATCCCCGAGCTCTCCGACCTGGAGGACCTCAAGTATGTCTACGATGCCCTGAGGCCGCAGGACTCTGATGCAGATGCCACCACCTACTTCACCAGGTAGAGGACATGGGTGGGTGGTGGGGCAGGAGAGCATGGAGGGAGCCCATGGAGGGAGGCATGGGCACCGGCTTGGCACGCTGACGGTTGGGCTCCTTCATGCTGAGCACGTGGTGGCCTTATTGCAGGTTGATCGAGTCCAGCCTGGGCAGTGTGGCCACCAAGCTTAACTTCTTCATCCACAACCTGGCACAGATGAAGTTCACGGGCTCCGACGCCCGCCCGACCCTCTCCTTCGCCCCCCGCACGCACACCATCAAGACGTCCGGCCGGATCCACGACGTCTTCCTCTGCCGCCATGAGAGGGTCTTCAACCCCAGCAAGGGCTACGTGAGTGGGGACGGTTGGGGACAGGCGAAGGGACAACTCAGGTGGTTCTGTCCCAGTGCTCCTCCCCGGCCCCATATGGGTGCAGGGCATCCCGGGGGTCCCCATCCCATGTCACAGCCCCATCTCTCTGCAGACCTACGTGGTGAAGGTGCAGCGGGAGAGCCCAGGCGAGGTGGTCTTTGTGCAGCGCACCTTCGAGGAGTTCCAGGAGCTGCACAACAAGCTGCGCCTCCTCTTCCCCTCCTCGCTGCTGCCCAGGTACCCCTGTAGACCACTGGCAGACCCCCGGGGCTCCCCACCACCCCTTGGGCTTTGCTGAGTGTCCATCCCCACAGCTTCCCCAGCAGGTTCGTCATCGGACGGTCACGGGGCGAAGCAGTGGCTGAGCGGCGGAAGGAGGAGTTGAACGGCTACATCTGGCACCTCATCCACGCCACCCCCGAGGTGGCGGAGGTACGGAGCTGGGGGGGGTCCCAGCAAGGTGGAGGGGGGCTGCTGCTCCCAAGAGGTGGGGATGGTGCTGGGGACACCAGTGAGGTTGGCTTGGTTGGGAAAGAGCGTGGCAGCCAATGCACCATGTGAAGCATCATAGTGTGCACCGTGCATGTAAGGCATCGGCAGTTGCACCGTGCACATAAGGCATTGGCATGTGCATCGTGCACCGGTCCCAAATGGCGGGGGATGCAGTTACCACCGTCACGGCTAACGTCACCTCCTCACCCCGCAGTGCGACCTCATCTACACCTTCTTCCACCCCCTGCCACGGGACGAGAAAGCAGCGGGCACCAACCCGACCCCGAAGCCGGCAGGTAGGGGGGCTGGTGGCGATGCCAGCAGCCGGCTGGCATCGCGTGGGGCGATGGCGGGGGGCTACTGTCCCACCCTCACCCCTCCTCTCCTCCTCTCCTCCTCTCCAGACGCCACGTGGGCTCGGCCCCTGGGGAAGGTCGGTGGGGAGGTGAAGCTCTCCATCTCCTACAAGAACAACAAGCTCTTCATCATGGTGATGCACATCAGGGGGCTGGTAGGTGTGTGGTGCCCGGTGGCAGTGGGGTGGGGGTACACCCCACTGGTGCGCTCACAAGGTGCTCCCCACTCTGCCCCACAGCCACCGTTGCAGGATGGCAATGACCCTGACCCCTACGTCAAGACCTACCTGTTGCCTGACCCCCAAAAAACCACCAAGAGGAAAACCAAAGTGGCCCGAAAAACCTGTAACCCCACCTACAACGAGATGGTACGTGGGTTGGGGATGGGGTTGGGGATGGGGATGGGTATGGGGATGGGGATTGGGATGGGGGGATCTGGAGGGGCTGTGGCTGATGGTCTTGCCCCATCCTGCCCCGCAGCTGGTCTAAGATGGGATTCCCAGGGGGGACCTGCAGGAGCGGGA